GGTATGTGGACAGACAGATACAGGTAGGTAGACAAACAGGCAGGTAGGTAGGTAGGTAGACAGACAGACAGACATGTAGATGGACAGACAGACAGACAGGTTGGTCAGAAAGACAGATAGATCAGCATATTACAATGATGTGACATTAAAAACTGGAATAATGATGCTGAAAATTCAGCTTTGACATCACAGGAATAAATTACCGTTTAACTATATTAAAATAGATCATAGTTTTTTAATCATATAATCACAATATTACATACTTTTGATATATTCAGAATAAACATATTATCTTTTTCAAAATGTGTCACGTTCATGACCTCACTACCATTAGAATATGTACAGACCAATGCAGCACCGTGAACTCTATATCAGTAGTTTTCACATACAAAGAGGCTAGCGAGGCATAACAAATGCAACAACGATGTTTGTCTGGAGCATATTTACATAGAACAATTAAAAAATAGCTCAGATGGAATATAAGAGCGCAGTCTGTGTGAATGGCCCCTGAGGGTCAGAGCGAGGGCGAACACATGGTCAGCTAAGACTAATTTACAACCACTTTGGTGCAAGAAACCTTGACTGATATTATAAGTGGACTTCAGGGGAAAAATTTAATGCTAAATGTGTAGAATACAGTCCCTTGAAGCTTTTTGTTGCTGCAAGTAAGGTAAATAAGCATCCGTGTTAGCGTAGCATTTATGTTAACGCATCTATATTGGCATATTAGCATTTCAAATGTAAAGTGCCATATAATGGGACAGTATTAGCATTAGCGCAGTGTAATGTAAAGTGTAAGTCTAACACATCACCTCCAGCAGATGCGTGCTCAGGGAGGAAGTGATGCGCTAGCGGGCCGCCGTGGGACGTGCTGTTGTCAGCTGCATATCAGCGCGCTGTAAATAGCCCGAGGCTGCTCTGTTTTATCGGCGAGCAGAGACCGCACGCTCTCTCGCCAGCTGCCAATGCTGCTTTAAACTCAGAAATAAACGAGAGAGGGATGCTTTCCCACCTCGTCTGTGTAAACCTGATTTTCAGAAAAAGGTGATCAGATCAGCTGTGACATTGTGCAAAATACCTTCTTTCTGCCATTTTCTCGCCCGGGGTGCATCATCCTACGGATTATCTGAGGCAGCGGGGGACAATATGTAATTAACCCATGTGACCTCAATGCCTTAATTGTTGACTGTCGGAGACCAAACAGCAGCACCTCCAGCAGTGATATCGGCTTCCCTTAGTCCAAAATCCCTAATAACCCAACACGACCACTCTTTTCTTATGTATGTGACTTTTATTGATATGGATCAGGCTTTGTTTTGCGGAATATTTATGTATTGGTCATGGCGTCTGTGATAATTAGCAGTGCTTGCTAAACATTGTATTGCGAATTAAATGCTGGCTTCATCCTGTATCGTTTGTACTACAGACATGAATGATGGATCAAATGTGATTGATATCTAAAATTGTGGTTTAAATGTGTGTTTGTAATGATAAAATAGGCACACAAAACAAATTAGCTATATCTAGGAGACCAGAATAACATACTGTACACTGGAAGAAATCTCATTATATTTAGTTTCTTTTTTTTTTTACCTACTTTCACTATATTAAATAACTTTTTTAATTTTGTCAAATCATATTTATTGGACAAAATGTAGTACAATTAAATTAAGTTGGTAACACTTTACTTGAAGGGGTGTGCATAAGACTGACATGACACCATCATAACCATGACATGACACACGTCATGAATATGAAGTAAGGTTCATGCATGTTTATGAGAACTGTCATTACGTGTCATTCGCTCAATTATGACATTTTTAATGCAAATATGACATTGTTTGAGATGTCTTTGTTATGACACCTTGACATTAACCAATACATCATAACCTGTCAGTTTTTTTTTTGTTTTTGTTTTTTTTTGTCATGACAATTTGACATAAACCAATACATCATAACCTCCAGTGTCTTTGTCATGACAACTTGACATTACTAAGACAACACAACCTGACATAGCAGATTATTTATCAAACCTGAGAAACCACTTATCTTTTTGGGTTAACATTACATTAAACTGGCAGGTGGTAGCTTTTGACATTGGCTGTCATGAAGCCAATATAGCATTTCAATGACAAATTCAGTAGTTGAGGTCAAGAAAAATATTCATGACACAGTTATAATGGCCTCATGACAGCCGACGTGAAAACCAACCACCTGCCAGTTTAATGTAATGTTAACCTATAAAGCTAATTGGTTTCTTAAGTTTGATAATTAACCTACTACGTCATGTTTATTAAATATTTATGACAATTTGTTGTCTTTGTAGTGTCATGTTGACATTACCAAGACACTGACAGGTTATGATGTATTGGTTAATGTCAAGTTGTCATAACAAAGACATCTCAAAAATGTCATATTTGCATTCAAAATGTCATAATTGAGGAAATGACACTTAATGACAGTTGTCATAAACATGCATAAAACATGTTTCTTGTCATGGTTATAAAGGTGTCATGACAGTCTTATGCACACTCCTTCAAGTAAAGTGTTACCCACCCTAGAAACCACAGATGTATGCTAGAAACAGTTTCAGGGAAGATAATTTGAAAACTGTCTTGCTTAAAGGAGCTAAACTACAGTAAAGTTATTGTTTTTTTGTTTTAGTCTAACACTAATACCTTGTTCAAATTGGTAAAACATATCAACATTTTTGTAAAACTCCCAAAACAAACCTAAACATACAATCTCCTCCAGTTTCCAGCTAAAATGAATACTAGTGACAGTAAAGCACAAACAACCTTTGTTCCCTTTCACTCAAATGATGATTACAGAGGCATATTATTGATTAATAAAGATTTATTTTCATGCAGTTCCTTGCACAAAACTATCTTATGACCTCAAAATAATTGTGTGTGATTTGTAAAACAATTTTTTGTCTTTTAAATAACCAGCTCCATACATGAATGGAAATCGCGGGTGTTTCTAACGTCACAAACTACCACCAATCACCTCACCGTGGATCTCTGAGCTGGAGTGTGTGAGTGAAGACGGGGCTAATTTGCATATTCATAGAACCGCTAAATGAGGCAAGAGTGTTGAGTTACATGCAAGCTTTTTTTAAGGCATGACCAAAAAAATTGAGGAAAATACATTTTAATGTCTTTTTAGTGATCAAAGATGAGTTTAAGGGATCAAATTATTGACTACAGGGGTACTTAAACACTAATTGGTTATTTTAAAGGAGCACTCCGGCGCAAAATGAACCTTTGGTCTAATAAAACATCGGTACCTAGTCGACCGTTCTCTCAGATTTGTTTTCATGATAATCGAATGTAAAGAGTTTTATCTCTAAAAACTGTTTAGCGTATAATGCTATAGTAATGGGGGCATATAATAAGTAAAAAGAAATCGCTAGTTAATACCACTAACAAGGCTCAAAATAGCCCCACACTAACACATTAACATAATGAGGGTCCCTACATGCAAAATGAAGCATTGAGAACTTTGTAAGTGTACAGACCGTTTAATAAGAAGATGCCAGACGCTCTGCTGAAGATGCCGTGCTTTGGGCGCTTGAGAGCGTTTTGGCAGCGCAGCGTTTTTTCCGTTGAGACGTTTCGTTGCTATGATACAGAATATCCGCAGCAGTTTGAATGTTGACAGTTGGTCGTTGTGGTATTAGTCCCGCCCCTCCTCCACTGTGATTGGACGGCTGGGTAAAAAGTGACAGTGATGAGCGCTGCGTTTTATCCAAAGTTGAACATTTTTCAACTCCCAGCGACCAGTAAAAACGCTGGGCGCTCGGCGCTTCAACGTGAAAAAAAACCGCTCAGCACCTCGGTACGCTCATGGCGTTTAAAAAACGCGGCGCTCCCATTGAAAACAATTGACGCCAGGCGCGTGGAAAAACACTTTGGTGGACACACGGCCTAAATAAAAAGTGATTATGCAGCTGCAGTGTGTCATTAACCAAACAGAGGTGATTTTGTTCACAATCAAGCACTTCAGCTTTCATATGGTTTTGTGTGTGTGGTGACATTTTTATGTTCTTCACGCTGCTACTGTACCTTGTGCATTGAGAAAAAAAATCTTTTCTCCAGAATGTGAAGTTTTAGTTAACAAGCTGGTTGAATACAATATTTACAGTAATTGCCACAGCGATGCAGCATTTTGTTTTCCCCGTTAAATATTTAATAAGCACAAATCCTGGCAAGACACAAGAAACTAATACAAATTCATCTAATAAACCAACTTTTGACTTTCAATCTAAAACCAACCATATTTACTTTTAATATCCAGAGGCAACTTATATTCCACTCTTGAGCCCCTAAGTATTCGAAAGAAGTACGGCCATACAAAGTTTTAAAAGGCTTAATAATAAGACTTTGCCTAGTATTATAGCAATGTTTCTCACTTACCCTAGAGAAATACTGTTTGCATTAAAATACATTGGAGCTCTTTTATTTATAGGTAACCAGTCAAGATGTCTAAATGTGTAAAAGTACGAAAAACATCAATTTATTTAGAGATTTCTGTAACTTATCCAACCTTACATTCATGAGACAGATCAGACATCCAAGAAATGACATATCTAACATATCTGGTGAGAAATGTAGCCATATTTGCATCACTTAAATCATTTTCTAGATAATAGTTCTGTTTGATAATTACACAATCCACTACCTTGATAGACGCAGGTCGCTGCGTGATTGAGTTCACCAACTCAAAAAAAAAATACTACCTTTATTCATGCGATCAAGTCGTTTTTTTTGCCTAATTTTTATGTGTTGCTCACGCACCATCCCTTAGAGTTGAGGCGTCTGTGATCCGGAGCTGTTAATTGAGGTTGTAATTGTTGCTCTTTAATGATCTGTCAGTCGTTTCCACACGGGATGCGGTGCTGTTTGCAATTCTCTCTCTGTGCTGTGAGAAATAAGCTATTTGTGAGACTCTCGCCTGACTTGTTTCTTCTCTTTTCTCTCTTTCTGTTTCCTCCACAGTCCCTGGATGGATTTGTATTTGCACTAAACAAGGAGGGGAGGTTTTTGTACATCTCAGAGACAGTGTCCATATACCTGGGGCTTTCACAGGTGAGTGCACTTGAGATTTTCTCTCTCCCATCTCTTTTCGTCCATCGGTGCGGAAGAGAATCTGGACAAATTAGTGTTAGATAAACTCCCGCGGTTGTGTTTGCTGCTGTTTAATTCGTGGCGTTCATCACTGCATATTTTAAGTGCCAGAGAGATGTTCTCATTGGAATGCTAGCGTGTTCCCCCGCTCCTGTTGGCTCGAGCCAGGGCCTTTCAATAAACCGACAGATCGGTGAGGTCAGACAGTGAGAAAGTGACCTTCAGAACTCTTGCGGTCCTGTCTCGCTGAGCTTCATCTCGAGTGCTTGCAGGCTTCAATCAAACCAGACACGGCTGCACAACAGGCAGCTTCTGTTCACCGGTGGTGCGAAAATCCACACAAATCATCAGAAAAGCCTCTTGCTGTCCTTGTACGAGGGATCTAAACCGCTCAGGTGCCTTCAAGATGCTCACTGTACCGGTGACTGTAACAGTTTGCAACAGTTTAACTCCTTTGCTTCAGTTAGAGATTGGGAACAATTTGGGCTGTGTTAACTGTAAAAAAAAAAGATTAGTCAAGTCATCTTGTTGCTGTGACTGAGTTAAGTTGAGTCAACATATAGCGTCAAGTTTATTACACTTCAAAACACGAATTGATGCAACATGTAGTCTGTTGACTTAGGACAATGTGCTGTATAGAGATGGAACAGGTGTAGTTTAGTAGTTTAATTATGGTTATTATAACATATTTGTCATCTGCTTGTATGTGTCCATTCTTTATTAATAGCCTACAGGTCTGCTGTTTCAGACCAGATCCGAATGATGATCAAACATATTCTGACGAGTTTAATAAAGTTTATTGTACATCACACAAGATGAATCAAAAAGATCTCATTCCCCATTGACTACCATAGTATTTTTCCTACTATGGAAGTCAATGGGGAATGAGATCTGTTTGATTAAAACATTCTTCCAAATATCTTCCTTTGTGTTCAGCAGAACAAATAAACACATAGAGGTTTGGAACAACATGAGGGTGAGTAAATACTGACAGAATTTTCATTTTTGGGTGAACTAAACCTTTAAAGAATTAAGGAAGTAGAAAGATGAAGTCCAAAGAGGCCGTTCGATGTGGGCTACTTCTGTTAAATAAAATATCTCGCTTGGCATTGAACTTTGAGCTTTATAATTTTTATACTCTTACAACAACATCACACACTAGCTAAAGTTTGAAACATGGCATCACAAAGAACGGGACCTTTAAAAAATAAGTATTGTGTATACTGTGCACGGTCTTACAAGGACCTAGATGACCTGGGTAATACTGTATACTGTAGCCGTGTACTCAAATCGACCTTATATTTATAGCTTGGCAAATAAAAACAGCTTTAATTTTTAATCTCATACACTAGTTTTAATCAGAAATGTGTTTTCAAAGTGATAATTGTACTCCTATGTATTCATTTCACTGTTGTATGTACTTAAAATTATTGTTCATTTCAAAATGAAAATTCTGTCATCATACACTCACCCAAACCTGTTTGAATTTCTTTCTTCTGCTGAACACAAAGGAAGATATTTTGAAGAATCTCAGTTACCAAACAGTTTACTGGACCCATTGACTTCCTTAGTATTTTTATTTTTCCTACTATGGAAGTCAATGGGTCCAGCTCCAATTAATAGTCATTCTCCAAAATATCTTCCATATTCCATGAAAAGAAACACAAGACAAAGAACTGAGCAAACTGAAGGCCTTATATATGCACAGGATAGTAAGAACTAAATTAGAAAGAGGTGTACAACATAATCAGTTACCATAGGAGCAAACTAGTGACTATGGCTGTGTACGAAATCATCCACACTCTAAAAAATGCTGGGTTGTTTTAACCCAATTTTGGGTCAAATATGGATTAAAACATGTAATTTATAAATTTATTAACCCAACAGCTGGGTTTGTCCATATTTGACCCAAAATTTTTTAGAGTGCATCTAGCCGCATCATCCACCCATTTTCTAAACCGCTGGTCCAATGTGGCTACAGCGTAAATTCTTACAGGTATGAATTACTTTTTACTTGATTATCAAATTCTTTAATTCAGGTTTATACAAGCTAGTTTCCATGACGGATTATTACTAAACAGCAAGCAAAATCTACCCAAAAGTGGCAGCCCTTCCAGCGCACTCAGTGTCCGAATTCACTCACTCATTTTCATACACTCCTTCAAGTGAACTATATTATATTATAGCAATGTAGGGAACAGTGAATTAGGAAACAGTGAACAAAGTGAAACACAAACTAAGTGTCCATCAAAACCAAACTGAACATGACAGCATGGAATACGCAAATTAAAAATAGCAGGCATAAAGTAAATACTATGTAGTGCGTTATGATTCCATATGCTTTCAATCAAGTTCAAGTGCAGCTATGACCTGTCAGACTTAGACATTGTAAATATTGAGTCTTCTAAATTATAAAAGCAACAGTGGCTGTTAAAAATATTAAAATATGCTGCTAGATAGAGGGATTGAGATATGAATTAAAAAGAGACGTCTAAAGCCAACTCAAAATTAATTCAGCATTAATTGATTGATGATTTTTATCAAATAATTGATTAATTCTCAAAATCCTGGCTTTTGGAATTTGGCTTGCTCTTTTTCTGTGGTATTATCTTTAGGTTGGCCTGCTGATAAAGTGCTTGTAAAGTCTTTAGTCTAAGTAGGTTTTATTATCTTACATGGTTAAGCTTATCCCATAACTCTCCTGATCTTAATTGCTAAACCTTTTTCTTCGTTAATCTGTCCTAGAGGCCACAAATTTATAAGGTGTAGTTCATTATTTCCATCGTTAATTGGATGAGCAATTTGTGAGCTTTTTCTGCATTGACAGTTCTATGCATTTTTGTGCAGTGGTTTATCTAAAATAGACCAATAAATGATTTTCATATATATAGTCTAGGTTTATAGTTTGACTTTGGCGCTCTGAATAGTTAATTAACATTTGTTCAAAATCAAATTAGATTTTGGTGCACATTTAATGCAAATCTCCAGCCATGCAAGTAATCACCAGGATAGCTTATCTTTTTTTTTTTTTTTATAATGTCTGTTTGATAACTAAACTTTGGGTTATACAAAGAATATAAATTGTAAATAACAATCACAGTAGGATAAATGTTAGTTAGAACGGCCTTAATGGAGTGGTACTATCAGTCATGTTTAACACTTCTCCTTGAACTTTTTTTAATCTTGCATAATGGTTTATAACAGCCGTTTAACCCTGCGTTTTGTAATCCTGTGAGTTACAGCTCTGCATTGCGATGGTAAGAGCCAATAGATCTCTTCAGACCGCTCTGTGCGAGCTCTGATTTCCTAAGAGCTAATGATGAAGGTTATTAAAGATTCAGGGCTTGAACCATACTGCGGCCATTACACTAGGCACAGTCGATAGCATGACCTTTTAGCACCGCGGCTCAATCATACGAGCGCTCAGCTGCTCAAATCCAAGCTCTGCTCTCAGACAGATACTGCGGCCTCGCAGGGCACTAGAGGAGCACTAATCTCTAAATCGAGCTCTTCCTCAATCCCTTTGAAAGTAGATAGGAAGCATCCAGTCATGGAGTTCACTGTCCCCGTAATGACATCAGCTGGACCTTACTGTGATTCCAAGCTGCACAATAGTCTTTGACGGTGTGATTTATGGCATGTTTTGTAAAACGGTTAAATCCCTCCGCCTTGGGTTTGATCGTAGGTTACGCATGTTGGGTGCAGGCAGTTTACTTAAAGCTCTGGTTTGGTTACAGCGATACAGGGTGCATCTCATACAGAGGAATTCTTTTAATACAATAAAACTTCTAAAACTAGGAGATTTATCCCCAATGAAATGAATATATAATTGGTTTAGGGCTTCAGACTTCGACCAAATGGTCACTCTGCCGGTGTGACTACATTTTGCAACTGATAAGAGCTACCTTTTATGTTGCATATGAGAAACATCAAACGAAACGAAAGTGAAACGAAACCACACTACTCGTTTGAGCTACTCAACCCGGACCCAGACAGCACCAGCGAGAGCTCAGGTTTAGTCTCGAGCCAATTTTAAAGGGGTGATGAACTGAGAAATCAAATTTTCCTTGAGCTTTTGACATCTAAGAGGTCATCGTATTATAAGAATATACTGTAAGTTTCAGAACTGAAAACGTCCTTGTTTGTCCAATAAAAGCTTTTATTGACACCAGGCTCAGCAAACGACTCGTTTTTCAAAGTGGGGAACTATGACGTCAAAGAGGATAAAACACCACCCCCGCAGAAGAAGATCAACGCCTACTTCAACACGGCCGGTTTAGCCCCGCCCACCGATTTGCGCATTACACGCATAGCTAAATAACATAGGCTGACCTCGTGATGACAAACCGGGGTCGAGCTACCGATCAATAAACATGCCGTTTACAAAATATTGTGCCGCGCCTGGTTGTGGAAGAAGACAGTCGCTGCATAAGCTTCCTCTGGATTCCAATAGGACTGCATGGATAAACTTTATTTTTAATGACGTTCCAGCTGATGAGGTAAAACATTGTCTGTCTGTTCACTTCATTTCACTGAGGATTGTTTAGTAAACAAGACTGGATTTGCAGAGCGATTAAGAGTAAAGAACGGTGCTGTGCCGTCTATATTGGATCTGACAGGAATTGTACGACACATAGACTCTCGGTCAAACATGAATGGGCGAATCATTCCGGTTACCATTTTACAACATTGGACTTTTCCAAAACAATTTCCCCCAAGTGCATCGATGGGTGAGTTGAAACTCATTATAATATGCAAAACTGTCACCCACTCACAGCAGTGGGCGTTTACTTCCAAGTCTTCAGTGCGAGACGCCCATAAAAACCTAGTTTTCAGCTGGTCTCAAAACTAGGGTAGAAAATAGCCTATTGCTTATTCATTTAGATGTTTTTGAACGCAAAAACCAAGCTAACGTCATAAGTTGACCTCCGACAGCAATATAATAAAATTTAAAAAGCCAG